GGGGGGGGAGCCCCCGGGGCCGCCAGGGGAACCGGGGCTGCCAGAACCGGGGGAGCCGGTGGATCCTGGGCTCCCGGAACCAGGGGAACCGGTGGAGCCGGGGCTGCCAGAACCAGGGGAACCGGTGGAGCCGGGGCTGCCAGAACCGGGGGAACCAGGGGAACCGGGGGAACCAGGGTTACCGGGGCCGCCCGGGCCACCGGGGCTGCCCGGGGAACCGGGTGCACCCGTGGCGGAGGGGCTCCCGGGAGAACCGGGGACGGGGCAGCCGGGGTTACCAGGGCAACCGGGGGGGTTAGCGTCACCGGGGCTGCCGGGGGGGGATCCCCCGGGGCTCCCAGGGGATCCTCCCGGGGGCGGCGGGCCGTAGAAGGGGCACGGCGCGTAGAAGTCGAACTCGCCGTCGGTGAGGTCGTCCATGAGGAAGCGCGACCAGCGGTAGTCGTCCTCGGAGTCGTCCCGGGACATTCCCCCGAGCACCGCCACGTTCGCCATGCTGTCGAGTGCTGCCGACGCGCCCATGAAATCGGGCGAGTAGCTGACGGTCAACGCGGCGGACCCGGCGGCGGTAACAGTCCCGTCGAGCGAGGCCCTGACCGTTGCCGTGCCGACGTCGAGGTTGGGCGGGGACTGGCACGTGACCACGAACGTGACCAGGGCGTTGTCCCCGGTTTCTAATTCGTCGAAGTCGGTGGGTTCCTCAGTGAAGAGCACGCGCTTTGCGGGGACGCGGAGACCGTCGAAGGAGCAGAACGCCGGGGCGGCGGCAAGGGGGATCAGACCCGAGGCGTCGGCCTGCAGCGCATGCGCAGGGAATTGCGGGGTTGACTTTTTGAGGTTAGAAGGCCGAAACGATCCGCTTGCAACGCAGAGTGCAGGCCATTTTAATAGAAAGGACGTCAAGCTCAATGGCCGGGGGAAGGAGGCTTGAATTGATCGTTAGCCTTTGCCGGAAGTTGACGGGTTTGGATTTATCGAATAAGAGCCTTCGAAACGACTTTTGAGAACAGAAGTGGGTTGGGACACTCAGCAGCATATCTTTGCAGACAAGGAATCAGACTCTGGTCAAGTTGAGGCATCGTTCGTGAGGTTCTCCGAGCCATAGCAAGAGTTCACTCATCGAAGTATCCTGTAGGTCCGTTAAGCGATTAGTAGACCAGTACCCAGCAGAAGCGAGCGAGACATTGAACAACGGGGAGCAGCGTCTGAACGCACCGCCCAACGTCAGTATGATCTCAGCATTCAACGCCTTTTTTGGGACTCCAAACCTTTTTCCTTATTGAATTACCGGTTCGAAGGTTTTCAACTTTAAGACCAACGCAGGTTGCCCAAAGCACTCAAGTACAAGTGCAGTTGTAAGAAGAAGCGAGCGCGGCGCAGGCGGGAAACGGTACGTACCAGAGAGTCGATCCCGGAGGGTGAGGACCGGGCTTTCAGCGTGACCTCCACGTCGGTGCTCGCGAACATGGACACCTGGCGGGGGCTCACGCGCATCGTCTTGAGCTTGCCTGGCAAACATAAGCGCGCGCATGGTTAGATGACGAGCTTCGAAGTTACTTTCCGGTTGAGCAAGTCGGATGCTTCTCTCTTTGTGCGATGGGTCCTCGATACGAGGATGTGCTCTGCTTCTTACCTGATGAAGTGTCAGCCGCCGTCGATTTGAGACATGTTTGCGTGTCAATCCGAAACTTGTGCTCAGTAAGCATGCCCCTGTCGAAAAGGAATCGGTCTCGAGGAACACAGAAATTTGTCAAAGGCGCGAAGCGGAAGCGATTCTGATTGCGAGGCATGTTTGTGGTGTGCCTTTTGCGTGCTTGATCCAGCTTCGTCGGGAAAGGAGAGAGTTTTGAAGGTCCGTTGGCGGATGCCAAAATTCTTGCAACTCAGCTTGAATTGGGATTGAGTTTGGCAGCTAGGTCTAACCAGTGAACCACCTTCTAGGTCCTGTCAATCGTTGAGGGCTTTCTGAAACTGTTCCAAAAGGAGGTCCGTCTGTTTCCTGGCCCTCTCTTGAAGCTCGAGATCCGAAACTCCTCTGACAAAAGCAGTTCTCCAAGATGTTCTTCGGTGGACCCTAGCTCCCAGCTCAAGTCCGCAAGATCTTTTTGTGGTTAGAAGTCAGAGTGCATCGATCTGGGGAGCCTTTCAACCTTCAAAAGAGCCAAGCTAGCACGGAAAACGCTCTAAAGCTCCAAATCTGCGAGGTTGATACGATTCTTCGTTTTGTCTACGAGGCTGGCTGCCTTTGCACAGGTTCAACAGATCTCCTTTAGCACACGAAGACCCTCTTCATCGTTTATTGTGAATTGAGGACGATGCATTACGATGCGGCTGCCTTTAATACCTGACCTCCAGGAAAGATAATCTCGACCCAAAGAGGAGTGCGCCAGCCAGTGGTTGCGAAGAAAGGTGCTTACTGTAGTACACGATGGGGGCTGCCTTTCCCAAATCTCTGAAAAGATGTTATCGACGGAAACAAAGCGCCCCAGGACTCAGTAGATGCCAAGGTCCAATGGTGCTTACTGTTCTTTACGGGCGTTTCCTTTTTGAAATCTCCAGATGAGCTGCCTTTAGCACAATAGAAAGTCAGTGGTTGCGAAAATCGGACGGAGCTCACTGTAATACACGATGGGAGCTGCCGTCTGAAGCGTCCGGCCGTCCAAATGAACGGTGAGCGAGGTCCGGTAGCTGCTGCCGTCCAGCTTGGGGACAGGGCACGTGATAGACCCTACACACGTGGCGGAATTGTACGTTTAATCAACGGTGGGAATCAAAATTCCAACTTGGCTGGATTGTGATGACTGCTGCGATTCGGGGAGTAGAGAGTCAGGATCCGGTGGATCCGTCATTTAACAATCGACTGACCGCTTCTGTGGAGGAAATGTTTTACATAGATATCAGTATGTCCTTCAGCAACGTCGTGTACAGATCAGATCCGACCACGCGGACGCTTTTAGTGGCACTCTTATACGCTCACTTAATACTCGTCAGAACAGATTTGTCGAAGTCGCTCGAGTTGATTCTTCAAGAAATGTGATGGCTCGATTCGGGTCAAACTCTCCTTCGTCATTGCCAGGTTCGATGCCCCAGCTTAAGATCACTTTCATGCTGCTAACGCCTCCCTCAACAAACTTTCTCCGTGATGCAAAGACCCTTCTCAATATAATTGAAAGGCACTGCCTTCCTTTTGTTGACTGTACCCAGTTTCGGAAAGGATTCAGCACAACAACTTGACTACATTTTTCCTACAGCCTTTCAGGCGGACCGCGCAAAGGTATCTACAATGCAACGAAATCGCGGGTGCTTTACTTTCCGCGCTCCAAATCCCCCACAATGTCTCTACAAATCTGACCAAGTTCATCAAGTTCCAGTCCGAAGACAGGATTACAGTATTTTTATCGCGGGCCATCTCTTACCTGACTCCCCCTCAGTCGGCCCCACGGTCTCAACACCATGCTCGAACTTGCACGTGGCCCTCAACCCACCGCTGCCCTTATAGCTTATGGTGGCAGTTCCGCCGGAGGATGGAAACATGCGCGGAGTGACTGTCTCACTCAGTGCTGGCGCGACAGATAGCATGAGAGCCAGGCATAGCGAGAGGAGAGCATTCCTAGCCATGCTGGCAGATTGAGCCTTGCTCCTGGTGGCTGTTCTGCTGGGAGGATGCATCAGTCTGCAGCAAAGAATGGGTAATCTAACGTCAGGACACAGTCACGACATTTGTAGGCAAGTACAGCAACTGCCGTATGACAGCCTATAGAGCAGGGGAGCAGACAAAATGCAGACAAAATCTACAGATGTAACGCGAACCTTCATCGCTTCTGCAGAAATGAGTGTACAATATTATGACAGCCTTGGCTAGTATGGATCCGGAACCAAACAGGAAATGTCTTGAAGCAGAAAATCGAGGCGTTCCTCTTCCCAAGGGATCTAAGACATCCAGCAGATCTTGAAGCCAAAGTTTGCTGCCGCTTTTGCCTGTTTCAATCTTCTTTTGCATGCTTTCGATGACCCCGTGCACCGTCACCTTGCTTCCTTGTGAAGCTGAAGACTGCGGCACTGTCTGCTTGGGTTTGATTAAGACCTTAGCAAACCCTAAAGCTAAGTCAACGTGCTTTTAGACCATCAGAAAAAGTCCATGGGATAGAAGGACAGTCTTTGCCATACTAGATCAAACTCCTCTCGATCAAGAGAAAGTTACTCCTCAATGTCCCAAGAATCTGCCACAATTCTCACCTTCCGATGCTCCTTCCTCCTCCGAGTTCATTCAGCAGGGCGCTCTGTTTGATCGCCTCTTGTTCAGATATGAAGAGCCTGCTTTCAGCGTTACTACAACGCCATAGGAGAAAGGCCACCTTCAACCTTGAGCACCAAGCGCCTCAGTCGCGCCCTTCTCAGATTACTCTGAACCTTCTGCTTTGAACTGCGACCAGACCAAATTGATAGGCCAAGCTGATCAGGCTGATGCCTTCTTGAGCAGACTACGTAGATCTATGCGTAAATCTGCAGGTCTCAGATTGCCACCAGGCTGCTCAAGCTGCTCAACCCTTCACCAGCTAGAGAATCTGAAAATACATACGTACCTAGTGCAATTTACCATTCGCTTGTTGTTTAGACTTAGGTACCTAGATGTAGAACGTTCAACATCTCGTGCCGTTCGTTCCATGTACCTACCTATGCCAAATGTGCAAGCGTACGGTTTGCGCGCGGTACTTATCCTACCTACGGTATTGTACCTATATTACACATGTCCAGGACGGTTCCAAATGAAAGTAACACTCAAAGAACGGTTGGTCAGCGAGTGCATCGGTGGCCGTCGATCTGATCCTGCAAGCGTACACTCCCGTCGACGCTAGCTGTAAACGGCAAGTGGCCCGGCCGTTTGCCACGGTTTGGGGTCCCGGGCAGAGCGCCGTTTGAATAGGAAGAATTGGGGGCAGGTTGAGGTGGGTTTCACAACCAAATATTCATTAATACTGGCGACATTTGTGTTCACTTATTAAAGTGGGCGTCGGATTTCAAAGCCGGGAAATGCACACTAGTGAGTCTGAGTCCTGAGGAGAGCCTCGAGAAGGCGAGCTCTGAGCCGTCCGATAGATTTAACTTGGACGATTAACCGTCCGATGCCCAGGTGCACTCGCGAGTGCAATTGGGCGTATGCACTCGCACTCACACTTTAAGCTTGTGTTCACTGAGGTGTCCACCCGGGGCAAAAAATAAACTAACAAGATTACACGCTCCGCACCCGTACCCACCCTAACCCCCGAACCAACCCTACCCGTCCCCGGGAGCTGTACGTTCTTAAGTGAACACGGCGCTAAGTTAAAGTGGGCGTCGGGGTATAAAAGCGGTATTTTCAAGACAAAATCGGGACTCGGCCGAGTCGCCGTAGCTCCGAAGGAGGCTAGCGCGCTCGCCGTCCGAGGTCCTGGGTTCAAATCATAGAATTTCTACTTTGCCTCTTCTTTTTTGCCACATCTGGTTATTAAGGCATGCTTTTGGGGCCGTACCGGGCACCTGATATGACCCGAGACAGGCCATCTGGCGATCTGGAATTGACCATACTTAATTCGGGCTGATCGAACGGTGGATTCTATGTCTAACACGAGTCTACCTGGCAAGTATGCCTTGACGTCATGCAACTTCGGCGGTACCTCTAAGCCTAAAAGTACCGTAACAATGCACCGCGGTACGCTGACGAAAATCTGATGTCACTAGCAATCGCTACCGTTCCGATCGATGGCGCACCGATCGAGCCGATGGAATCCTCAGCGTCCGATCAAAATGGGACCCGCGGGTCCCACGCCCACTTTAACACAAATGTCGCCAGTTTTATTCATTAGCTTTTCTTAACCCTCCGACCCCTCAGACAAACCGACGGCCACATCGAGCTCCGGATATCCAGAGTATGCCATCCCGACCGTCCAGTCAAGCAAGTTTTCATCTGACGGTGCGGATCATGGTTCACCAAGTTTCAGTGGTGATGGTTTGGTCCCCTGACAGGCTGACCGTCACCACCCGGGTCACTTGTTGAGGTCACATTTGCGCCCCCAGGATCCTACCTGGCCCATACACAGGTATCTTGTGTTTTGAGCTGGATTTTAGATACGGTAGGATAGTGTCTGGCTACACTAACGGTGCACTAACGGAGCTTAAGTTCACTGCTGACCCCGCTTCTCGAGGCCCATTCAGCCGTCGGATGGCGGTTGATCGGTCACGATTCTATCTGTTAGATAGCCCTTTCACTACTATTGTTTGCTGTATCCGATCCGCCCTCTTGAATTTTCGGCAATGCCGGCAAACGCCATCAGGCCTTGTAATAATTGCCCCTGTTCGTCCTCTCCCGTTTCCGCCTCCACATACCGGTAACTCTGGTGTGACCTAACGGGCGTGTGACCTAAGATACAAGTTACCCGGGCACTTCAAACTAGAACACCTAACCCAAATAATCACCCGCTCCGCACCCCAACCCACCCTAACCACCATACCAACCCCACCCGTCCCCCGGGTGCCTATCTTAGGTCACACGGCTCTTAGGTCACACGAGAGTTATCGAAGTCGCCTCCACAGACCGTTGCCGAAATCACCGAGAGTTGTTGAATCCGGTTTATACATGACTCCATAGTCGCAGAACTTGGAAAATACTCACCAATCCGAGTTATTGTATGTTGGCTTCAAGTTCTCCAAGTTCCCACGTCCCGAGTCGGCCCCGGTGACTCATTGCAGTTCTTCGCACCAAAAATATGCCCGGTTGAGAATACCGCCCAGCCGCACCGTGACCGTCCGTTCGCGGACTCAATTCCGCCCGGGCTCCGCGCGGTAGTACGGGCATGGAACCAGTACGGTACACCAACAAACGGGCATTGACTGCATTGCCATTTTTCGCGATTGATAAATCGCCCCCAAAACTTGTCATTGATTCAACATAATCCGCAGAATCCTTCTTTTCTCGTCGCCGGTAATGATACTTGATCTCTCGGGGAGCGACTTGGGCTCATTTTCACAGGCTAGGCGCTGACCGGTAGACATCCAGAAGGGATGAACGGAGCTCGATCCGACGCGATCTCTGGCGCGGTGTGGACAACTTGGAACCGGCCCGGGATGAACGTCAGAGTACGTAGGCCGTACGTGTCCGTGCATGGCGCACGTTGACGCTGTAGGTCTTTCTGGGGTAGGTGTATCCAGTCACGAGACGCACCTACGAATTGGATTCAAAGTTGAGAAAGTCGGACGGTGCCAACGTGCCTACTGCCACTGGTCGAACAGCAACAACGTCAGACTCTGGATCAAATATTATGTGGTGAGACCCGGCACCCTTTCAGCGACTGAGAAGCGCTCAATCTGCCTACAGGTAGTCGCTGCAATGAGGGAGTGCTATAGGCTTTTCAGCGACGTAGAACTCCACAATTAATGAGGCTATTGAAACGCCGCAGAACGTACTTGCGCTAAAAGCACACTGACGCGACTCATGCATGCAGCGCCAAAACGAAACCGTCAGTACCTATCGTGTTGTTTGAGGTATGTACCATAGCACGTACGCTGAAAGCACACTGAAAATTACGGTGCCTCAATAGGTACCGGTACCTAGAATTTAGCAATTTAGAAATTAGCACCGCGACCGAAAATAGGTATAGCTCGATTGTTGAAGGTAAGAACCCGGGGGACGGGTAGGGTTTTTGGGAGGTTCGGGTATACCCAGTATTCGCTATGGGGGGCGCAATGTTATTGATGGCCGGGCTGATGGCCGCCCCCAGTGGCAAAACTGCTCCTCATATGTGGAGGGAGCTGGACTTATATAGGTATGCACTCGCGCCTCGACGGCAATACGGTGACTACTAGACATCCCACAACCAACTACGGTACCTACCGTCCTCTTTGGTACTAGGTATTGTAGGGCGTGATCATTGCCGATCGGTACGACCAGCCGGCATCCCCCCGGGCTCTAGTGACTAGGCCTTGATAGTCTGGAGGCTGGTATGTGAACTGCACTGGCTAGTCTCGGCGCAGCCCCGGGGAGTGTACTCTCATATTGTAGGTACACAAGTACAGGGGCAGCTTTAAGGTACCGTCGGTAGCGATCAAGAAACCTCAAGTCCGACAAGTTACCTTGCTCAGACACCGTGACTGGCGCCAGCCCACGTCATTCACAGCACGCACTGCTTGCGTAAGAAGGCGACTTCCCCGGGCAGATTGTTGCCACTCGCGGAAGTTCAAAGGAGTTTAGCGCCGTTCGATTAAGAATGTCAAATATTTTAGCGGCTCCTGTTCTTTGGTCAGGGGTCGAGATCCCGGTCGGACTTCGAAGGGATGCGACCGCATCTGACCGCATCTGACCGCATCTGACCACATCCGACGCATCCTAGTTCGATTTTGACTTACTACCGGTACAAGAAAAAGATCTTCGAAGATTTTCTGAAGCGATGGAGCCTTGTGATGCTCCGCGGCTCATGCCTCGTGCAAGCCTAGGAGGAAGTACGCCCGCGGCTGTGGCGTCTGGTCTCTGGTCATGTGAGGTCCTTGCCAAATCCGGGGCTGCCAACTGGTCGCCAGTTCACCGCTCTGGCCATCCTGCAAGTTGCTTGCGGCTTGCGCTGCCTTTCACCGTCAGGGTGCAGACTCACAACTCCAAACAGGTCTCACATTATGAAGTTCCAGCCTGCCCTGATCAAGGCCTGATGCCTGATTCTGGTTGCGAATGGTAAGACTTTTTTCCTGTAGGTGGAAGTTCGTGTATACCAGCTAGAATGCTGCCATGCAGTTGGTAGAAATTTACAATAGTTGATCTCTGAAGGTGAGGGATTCGAGTAGGGCTGAGGATTGCATCTTTGGCCTGCGCAACGTCCTACAATTGACTTGTTGAAGGACGCAGGTCTGGTGGTGCTGTCTTCTGTGTGACCGGCAGCTGTTCCCAGACAATCCACTTGTCCTGTCTCTTTTGGCCCTCACAGCAACATTCTCATGTAGCATCATTGGTTGGGCTGATTGAAGCAGGCGGATGTCAGCTGGCCTTGACATCCTGCTGAGACCGACACCATCAAAAGTGGTTACGGTGGAAGCTTCTCAATAGCATCTGCACAAGGATCGCCACCGATCCGGAGGAAGTTTTGAGCATCGTCATTCAGGGCTACATGTGCAAGGTGGGTGGAAACCTTTCCTACTGTTAGAATAGTGATCACTTTGCCCCTTCGCTCTGGCTGCCAAATATGGCTTAGTAGCCAGCAACCAGCGACTCATTCATCTACCTTGGTTGTCTTGTTGTCTTTTTGGGATCTTCAGGTACACCTGGACCAATTGATGTGAACATGGCTTCAAATTTTCGGAAACAGTGCTTCAAAACTTAAAGAGCCTGTTCTGAGAACGGCGCCCATGTTCGTAGTTCGCCCATGGGCCGGGCTTGTGCGATTCTCCTCATGCACCCTTCTGGAAGATGCTGTACTTGGACTGGTGAGGTTATGGAAGATTCACTGGGATCAGCTAGTAAGTTTTGTGCGAGGTCGTATCTTTGGCAATTGGTAGCTTGGCTTGGTCAGAGATGATTTGAAACAAGTACTCTGTTCTGGTAATCTACAGGCTCGCCAGACGACTGTGACATAATACGTTGCGGGATGCTGGTGGTGGAGCGCATCGTGTTTTCCTGGGTGAGGTCTATTGCCTACGCCCTTGGTTGTGCATGGCAGTCGCTGAGGAAGCAATACACCTTGTATCTTTCAGTGGATCACAAGTCCTGAAAGAGAAGGACTTCGGAACAAGCAGTTGATTAGTGACAGCCTTCTGAATGAGCCGTTGATCGGTGACAGCCTTCTGATCTGCCACCTTCAAAGGTTTGTCACCTCCATAAAGACGGTGCTTGTGATGTGCACAGTAAGTTCCAATCTATCAATCACGACAAGTCTAGATGATCAACAATGGGTGTACCACTACTCCCTTAGCTGACCTGAATTCATGAATCTATCGATCGGTTAGTTGTCGAAGGAACCTTTAGTGACAGCAGCTTTGCCTTATGCTCTCGGGTGGTTTTATGCTTGGGGCTTGAGTGGGTTTTTAAGAAAATGTCGATGGCACCTGTAGATTGAAGATCAGCCACTGGCTTGAGCTGAGCTTCCCCTTGAATCAGTTGCGTGCGGCACCTGAGGGGACTGCATGTGTATCTGATTGAAGTTCTCAGATGGAGACTTCGAAGATTGCTTGACAAGCTCCTTTTGTGAGCTTGTGGTAGCCACAGGAGTGAGCGGAAAGTTGAGCTGCAGATCTGCATCGAAATTCAAAGGCCTTTTGCCCCCAACTTCCACATGCATGAGTTGTAAATGGTTTCAACATGACTAGGTTAGTGTTGAGCTTCTATCTAAGTAAGCATGGTCACCAGCACACTCCTTCTGTGGTGATACCTTTTCACATAAAGGGGGTCAGAAGGTGCGAACGGGGTGTGCTCGACCAGTCAAATTTTGAAGCCGGTGGGCAGGGCTGTACTTGCTACTAATCTCATGTTATGGACGTTTTCCGATCACTACACCCTTTGGCCGTTGTGGTATTCTGTGGTTGCCACAATCCATACAAATATGGACATTTTTAAGCTGGGAGTAGCAAGATGCTCAAAGTATGTCCATCATTGTTGCAGGTGAGGCTCCTTTGCTAGAAGCTTGCAGGCGTGCAGTCTTCTCCAAGACGATGGGTGCTGAAAAGTTGCAGGATATGCAGCACCGACGCACTCACGCTGCCCGTATGCAGCGGAGTGGCTGTGTGACTATGCAAATGATTCAGGTGGGTCGTATTTCTCCTACCAGAGGTATCTTGGATGAAGAACTAAGGGATTTTGTGGGCCATGTTAATGGACAAAACGGAATGGTCGATCTCTGCTAAGAAGCGAATGGACAAGCACTTGACTTGATTCCTGGGTTTCATTAACGAATACTTTTTTTGCAGGTTCTCCAATTTACCACTAGCGCACAAGTTTGTATATTAGCCTAGGGACAAGTGCTTTGATCTTTCTAGGGGGCGTGACTGTCTGACACGAGGCACTTGCTACTTTTTGTGCTTCTCCTGGAAGTCTTCGGTCAGGCCACAAGAATAACTGGCACACTGGCCAACAGTGCTCGTTCCAAGGGGAACGAGTGCCTTTGACCATTGTTTCAGGTTTGCTTGTGGCCTGGCCCTGGCCTTCCAGGCGGGGCATGGCAAGCAACAAGTGCCTCGTCCCAGGCAGTCAGGCACTGTGGAAGAGCAGAAGGTTTTGGTGGTAACCAACAGTGATGATTTGTTCAAGTGAATGGTAATTGAACTTTGGAAACGGTCACTCAAAAGAAGGCTGTGCGATTTTTACCCCAATCAATTAGCTACAACTTAAACGCACTTGGGAATCAGATGTGAGGCTGATATACACGTATCTTAGCTATCATGTCGGCTCTTTATCATACTTCAAAAGATTACGATGTTGCAGCTCGATCTAGAATGCGTTGCATCGTGGTTGGGTATCATGGATCCATAAGAATGGTTGTGCAATGTCGCTCATGTACATAGTTGATTGTCAGTTCGTTGCGCGTCACTGACCTATGAGTCTAAGTTTAGACAATTGCGGTATACATCATGACGGTTCCATCTTACAATCGATTGCATGCATGAGGCTTTGATCGCAAACCGATGGAATATGCAGTGCATGCACATGGAGTGTGCAAATGTGAAACGGTCAAAAGATGCGATTGAGTTAGCTGCATATCTTGTATAAGTACAAAATCAGCGGCCATGCATGGCCTGCTCCGGCGCCCCGATAAGTTGAAGCTTGATCGGCTACTATCAGACACAAATAATAGAAGCTCACGATCGGATTCGAATAATGCGATCGCGAATCACACAATCACTAACTTGATCTTGTAGCTCCTAATATCGAGCTAGTCATATGTAGTCTCATATACCGGATCATAAATTTAGTACGTGACTTCACAGTCTAGCTGGTCGCGATGCCGGGTACTCATTTATACGCTACATCTTGGTGCTGCCAGACGGTCCAATCTAGGTACGTCGTGTGACGCACACATGCATCACATACGCCATCAGTATAATTGACAATGCCTAAGTACTCTAAAAAAGGTCTCCCAATCATTGGAAGCGCACAACTTCCAATGCCTCCTTTTTGACATGCTGAATCTATCCAGCTCACGAGCATCTATTGTGATGCCAATGGACTCTAGCTAGAACATTCGACGGAATATGCGAGTAGATCCCAAGTTCGCCCATTGGCCCCTGTCATCTCAAACGAGCCCCGAGAATCCAGCGAAATTTCAAGACCCGCTTTTCCATCCCTAACTACCTCGTGGACCCAATTTTACATCATGCTACATCTGCCGTCAGGACTGTCCAACCAAAGAGCACCACAACCACACGATTGAAAAATCCACGGTGCATCCGACCCCCGATCTACTCCCCGACCTCATGACGTCACCACAGACGCGCGCCCCGCCCTCAGTTGCAGTCGTTCCACCTCGTTCAGCACTCGGGGGAACTCCAGGAACAACCGGGAGTCTCTCCCGAGCAGTCCGCTCCGCCCCCCCGCGCTGTCCTTCGGCTGCCGGTTGTTCCCCGTCAGGTTGTTGCACGGGCTTCCCCCGGCCACCAGATCGAACGGCCCCTCCGCGATTAGCTCCGCGATTCTCGGGGTCGTGAGCTGCTTGATGTCTGTGACGAACGAGAGTTCCCCGGAGTTTCCCAGATTATGGACGCGCCACCAATGGTCTACAACGGTTCGGCAGTGCTCGTCGATCTCGACGCTGATGTAGCGCTTGATGGTGACGCCGAGGCGCCAGAGCGCGACGCCGAGGCCCGAGATTCCGTCGAAGAGCGACAGGACGGAGATTCCGCCCGGGATGGAACGGAAGTAGGGCACCAGCGGCGAGAGAAGGCGAGCGATTGTGTCGACCTGCAAGAGTGCGGGTGCTCAATTTGTAGTAGATTCTTTCCCGGCTGGAGACCTCCGGTTGCAAGATAGCCCGGGATAGGGGGTCAAACACTTCGCTTGCGAACCGCTCTACCTTGTTGCAAGTGACTAAAGCGAGCAGGACTTTCATGTTATGAGTCAGATGGCGCCGATGATCCGCACCTGACATAACAATGTCCTTCGTATCTCCATCACGTGCTTCGCTTCTGATTAAAAGTCCAGGTTCAATAGATAATCCACCTGGGCCAAATTTTAAGAACGCGGCAGCGACACTTTCGCTCGCGACCTGGATTTCCGGCCTTTTGTATTGGAGCAATCAGAGGCACCCACTCTTGGTGCAATTCGAAACTTGACGAACTATCTGGCTAGGAGAGACGAAGAGTAACATAATCTGAAGACCCTAACTTCTCAGTCCTGAGGTTTTCGGGCTAACTGAAATCCTGAAATTTTCTAAGGTCCCAAAACACAGCACTACATTCAAGCACATAGAAAACCTAACTGGAACGGAATAGTACCAGAACGGAATCTACCCGCTGGCAGGATCTGCCCCGAGTCTCAATGGGATCCCTGATACAAGCCAACAAACTGAAGTTGCAAACTTTTGAGCAGAGCAAAGAATGAAAGAGCACGAAATTACCCGGACAAGTTGCCTAGGAGCTCGAACAGAAAGCGGCTCCAAGAAGCCCCCACCCGGGTGGATACCAGAACCGTACGGCTTTGCTGCCCAAGGTTTTTCAAAAGTCAAGGGCCACTTTGTGAATTTCGAAGTTCTTGACAAAAGCGATCCGCCAGGAGTTCAAAGACCCGGCTCCGAGGAAAAGCCGCACTCGGGTGTCGTACCAAAACTGTAACAATTGCTGGCCTAGGGTGCCCACATTCTCGAAAGGTTTACGCGCCAACATCCTCAAACCCTGTACACCTTGACAAAGGTAGCTCAGAACACGTGCCGGGAACGAGTGCCGAGGAGCTCGGAGACCCGGCTCCAAAGGGATGCCGTTCTCGTCTGCGCTACAAGAACGTGCAGACCTGTCGTTCCGAGACCCGCCCACGATGTCGAAGCCAGACAAGCGCCCTATTTTCCCAAGAATCGGACGCTTTAACACACAGAAACCCAACACAAGACAAGCTTGCCTGGAACGAGTTGCCGAGAAGCTCGAAGACTTTGCTCCGAGGGATGCCGCACTGTCGTGCTACCACAAACTCGCAGATCTGCTGGCAGGCAACTCCCCAAATCTCCACAAGGTCAAGCGTAAACGTCTTGAACCATGAACTTACTGACAGGCAACGCCCAAAACACGTACCTGGAACGAGTTGCCGAGCAGCTCGAAGACTTTGCTCCGGGGGATCCCGCAGCGAGTGTGGCCCCTTGGGAACCCCATGATTGTCTCCACTTCCTCCTCTCGAATATTCGCCACGCTGGTGGGGCTTGTGAAGATGAGGTTGTACGACCTGCAGTTGCGCAAATGACTTGCTTCATGGATTTTGAAATGTTCGGTCTCATGGTGTTTGAGCGTGCTAGGGGGGTTTGACACCTCGGAAAACAACGAAAGCTATCAAGGGTAACACCGATCGAACTCGAATTGAATCAAAATGGATGCAGAACTGTTGCGGGGACCCAAACGATTGCCAATACCACTGAATACACGGACTCAGTCGATGTGCTAGCGGTTTCTGAGATCTTGACCGGTTTTCAAGGCCGAGCTTTTGAAAAGCACACCGACGTGCATATCGCCTAGTCAGACACTTGGTGACGTCGGATCAAAGGGCTCCACGTCAATTGGTGAAGCTGGGCGAGGCCACCACGAGCTAAATCCGCCGACTCTGCCTCGAAACCCTCTATTCAAAACCAAGCGTGTTACAAACACGACAATGCAGATTCTGGCAGCAAACCCTGCTTCGTTGTCGAGCTACGTTCCGACGCACCTGATCAACGCCCTCCGCTTTGTGTTCAGCGATGGGTTCATCGCCCCCCCCGGCTGCCGCAGTATCTTGTTCAGTACGCCGATCATATTGGGGTGCAGCTCCTTGGTGTTTATCATGTTGAGCTTGTCGGTCGTTTTGCGACGGTCCCACTCCGGGAAGTTGGCGGCATACTGGGGCCACACTTCGGAGATGCGCAGCGGAGCCAGGGGTTCGAGAGTGGTCCGGCCGGCGCGGGGAATGTTGTGAGGGTACCTGGGTTAAGGAGGGGTTAGGACGGGTTAGTGGAAGGCCTGCTTGTGAGAAGTGGCTTAGTGGGAAGTGAATTAGGGGACGGTCAAGGACGATTCGAAGGGAGCCTTGGGAGGACTGGTTCATTCACTGAGACCATTTGAAAATGGCATTGGGAGGAGGGTTTCTGGAGGACTGTTGAAAGGCAGTTGTGGCTACATGATCTGACGAAAATCATCAGATCGGAGTCAAGTTGTCCCAGACGAAAACCGAGTGTGCTCAAATCATTGCAAGAACATCTCAGATCCGCTGAAAAGGGTTTGGAACAAACGGCTTTCTGCTTGACTGCATCCGGGGGAATGTCCGAGACAATCCCCAGTTCTCGTCGGCCGGCAAGCATCCCTTGGAACAGCCAATCAGTCGAAGTTTCGAGATCAGCAACAAGCTGCAAACTTCCAAGCTGACGTCAAGCACCCGGTGATCAGGCATATGCCCACGTCCTAACCTATCTAAGCTGCCCTGTGTTTGGAAACAAGTCTGGACAGCAAGCACGATAAAAATTACAAAATTTGGAGGGAGCAGGAAGCCTGGAAAGCTTCAAGAGCGCTCTGCACACAGACTGCCAACACACAACTCGGCGGCCAATCATGCATGACAGCTGTCAACCTTAAAGGGATCACAACTTGCTCACTTTCGCTTGCGGTTCGCCACAGAGTACTCCACGCTGTTGATCTCCTCCGGAGGGATCCCCCAAAGGTGCCGCTGCATGAGGTCCCACACATTTTCCCGCTCCTCTAGTTCCCCGTCCGGCCCCACCCCCGACTGCCCCCTGTTCGCGTGCGCCACGTTCTCAAAGAAAAAGAGGAACGTCCGGGGGCCGTTTTCCACCGCCGGCCGCCACCGCTGCTCGAAATCTTCTGCAACCACAGGGCCGCGCGCAGCTGCCACGTGGCGCCTTCTGTTGGCGCTGACTTCACCAATGACGTCATCTTCGTCAAGCTGGAACTCGTTGTCGACCTCCGACTCGGGCCCCTCCTCTTCCGACGCGGCCCCGCACGACCGTTCCTGCTTCCGGGTCTTGCCGCTTTGCGAGCATGGCTCGACTTCCCGTGGTTTGACGGGCCCCCGATTTCCGTTCCGGTACAGGTAGAGCGGAATGTCGTCCGGTTTGCTATAGTCCTCCCCCTCGACTAGGATCTTCACGTCTTCTTTCCAAAGCGCGACCCACTCTACTTCGTCGTCAATGAGATACTTGACTTTATGGCGGTGCGAAGGCGGGTCGTACTCGACCGCCTTTGCGGTGTAGTACTTCTTGTCGACGTCCCACCAGATCGCAAACGCATCGATCAGAACTTCGACCTCCTCCCCCAAAAGGCTGAGAATCGCGCCGGGGTGGTTCTCCTCCTGCAAAAGCTCCGCCTCTAATAGCGGCACATCCACCCCCCCTGTGAAAGCGGTGCCTCCGACCCCCCCCGAGAGTTCGTCGCCACTCAGGGGCGGAAGATGGCGCTCGAAAGGTGCTGTGGGTTGGTCGTTGTTGGGAACGGGTCCAAGTTTGGACCGTTTTGGCGAGTGTGTGGGAGTTCCGCTAACGAAGTAGGGTTTGGGCAAGACGGGAGGGGTTAGGCTCTGAGGGGCATCAGCAGCCGACTCAAGTCGATCCAAGCCGTCTGCGGGGTTTGACTGTCTAAAGGGGGGACGGCCTGTTTCCTGTTCAATCTCGTGGTTGCCTGGTTCTTCTCCCCAGCTAACGAAGTCAAACGACTCCTCAAAACCGCCCCTCCCGCTCTGTTTGGACCGCTCAAAAGGCTCCGGCGGAATGCACGCGTTTGGTTCCGTCCGATATAGTCCGGTTCCGCCCCTTTCCGTCGAGTTCCGGGTAAGTCCCAGTGCTTCCGTCCGGAACTGCTTGCGCCCGCCTGGCGCCATGCAGTCCCATCCGAACCCCTCTGGATCCGTACGGCTCCATTCGAACACCCGCCCTCTTGTCCGAATGCGTCCGCTTCCGTCCAAGTCCGTCTGGTTCCGCTCCGTTCCGTCCATTCCCCCGGATTCAAGTGCCCCAAACCCTGCTCCTCCGGCTTCACTGCGCACATCCCGGGCTTGAGGATCCGGGCCTCCGCTCAGCAAATCAGCAGCTTCCACGTGGCACGTTTCTCCTGCTCCGACTAACCCGTCCAGATTCGGCATTGCTCCAGTCGACGCCTCCTCTTCCCTGGGGCCCTCTTCCGCTCGGCCAGGGACTCCGATGCCGCTCTGCCGACTGCAGACGCTTGGTTCCGGCCTCTTGCTCTCGTTCCGTCGTTCCGCTCCTCCAGCCTCGGCACCTTCAGAGACGCCGCCTGGCATGAAAGCCATCAGTGAGGGGAGGCGAGTCTCGCAAGGCAGCAGTCCCCGTTCTGCTTGGGCTGTCCCGGTCGTTTCTCTGCCTCTTCCACTTGTGCCGGGAGCGGGTTCCGTTGGGCGCACGTCCGAAGGTTCCGGCGGAACGCCCTCGTCCAGAACCAACCGAAAGCCCCCGCTGCAGCGCTCACCGACTCTACACTCTTCTCCCGTATCACCGGCGCCCCGCTGACTTTCTGCTCGCCAAACGGGGGTGGATTTCCTAGCCAAATCCACCCCCCTTGCCGAAGATTGCCGGACTCCGCCTGCTTCAGCACCCACACCAGGCTCTCCTTGGAATTGCCCACAATCTCCGGGCCAGTTGGTCATTCTGTGCCCTAAACCCGCATCCAAACCCCCGGTTAAACCCCAATCCAAGCCGGGCTGCGCGGGACTATTTCCTGCCGAACCCCTCCCAGCACCGTCTGCTTGGATCCGATCAAAACCCTCGAACGGGGTTCGAGCAGAAGAGTCCACGTCCAGGGGGGGCAATTTCGTGCCTGATGTGACCCCCCCTTGCTCCGCAACTGGGCGCCTTCTGCGATTGACGCGCAGCGGTGGGCTGCTGTCTTCGTCGTCATCGTGAACAGGAGTCTCGTTTAGCGGGGGCACGTTTGAGGGGACGGGGGTTCCGCTCGAAATGGGGGCGGCGCCGAGTTCTGGTTGGTTTGATGGGGGAGTGTTGGTGATGTCAGAGCCCGCCTCCTGAAAGAAAAGTAAAGCACAGCCACGTGTCAGCCGTCTGCAACATTTTCCCTCAAGAACGAAGCCGAATAGACATTGTCAATCCAAGGTCCCGGAAGGTGGCTGACACATTATGTCGTGTGCAAACCCTTGAATTTCCTGAGACACTCCTCGCTGACTCCGGGTTCTTGTACAGCAGACTCCTACTCCCGATATCTTTGCCAATGGAAACAGGCTGGAACCTCCGATACCTGTCTTTTCAGCACAGAGGAACGACTCGTTTTGTGACTCAGCTTTTCTTGTCCTGGCCTCAGCCAAACGAGCCCTTTCACTAACATCCTGAAAGTGTGAACAAACCAGCGAGAAGAAAGGACGAGCTTCTGGATTCAAGCCAAACTTCGGATCGTCGAGAAGGGTAACCCCGCCAACCAGCATCTCAACCTGGAGGCAGCCCAGAAATTTGACAATTGAAGCAGATGGGTCAAGGGTACAGAAGAACTAAACAAGAGTTGAGGAAACCGAACTTGATTTCCACGAGTCCCTCCCATTACTCTATTGGTCCCCAGCCCGACCTTCCTCAGTTGACGTAATTAGGAAACATAGACAACGACAAGAAGTCTGTGAAACCCGTGCCCAGTGGCTTCACAGTTTTGCTGACAAGGAGATTCTCTCACGTCTAGTTCCGCCTCCACGTCTTTGGCCAGGATCCAGTCGAGCGCATCCGTCACGCTGCCCCCTCTAGTTGCGCCCACCGCCTGTCGCGCCTGTTTTGAGGCGTAGCCCATTTCAACCAGTTGTTGGATCCGGGAATCCGGTTCCGCTGACGCTTTCGTTCCTCTTTTGGGGCTGGGAGACGCCTGCACAATTGGTTGTCAACTCGTTCGCTCCCTATGCATCAACCTCCAGCCTTTGACCAGCTGTGCAAGGCGCTTCTTTTCCGAGGAGGATACTTTGCTGGGTCCTTAAAGGCTGGAAGAAACCTGGAAGAAGGTCGGTGCTGATGCATGATCAGATTTGCCCACAAGTCCTCTTGCGTGGCCTTATCAGACGCAACCAAATCAAGAAATAACAAGTCACAGAGAAAGCCCCTGATGGTCGTTTCAGAGGGAGACTCCTGCAAATGCCCCTCAGGTGGCGTAATGTGATTCGATTCTTTATTTCTCTTGACTTGTCTTCCTTCAAACAAGAAGTAGCCTGTGTGCCGACCAGTTGCTGCGATAGCGAGTTGAACCCTGTCTGACTCGTACGTTCTTCACAGAATCTTTCGCTCCAACTACGATGACGGTTATGATCACTCTGCTTCTGTCAAAACACAGCTCCATTCTGCACAGGCCAGAAATTGCCACGTGTCGATTCACATCATCCATCTTCCCCCTGCCCACAAATCATTTCTCCACAAGCTGCCACGTGTCACTCACCGCGGCCACCTGATCGTGTCCCCTCTTCTTCCCTCCCCGGCTCATCGCCCGAATCGCGTCCAGATTCTCTAACTTCAACCGGGCCCCGTTCGGAAGCTCGACGAACTCAAACGCCAGGAGCTCCTGAGCCACGCGCCACCGGAGCCGCTCGAAATGGGGCCTCAGACGGGCCGGGAGACGGGCGCCCAGGTCGGCGGCCGAGAGGGTTGGGGTTTGGGAGAGCAAGTTGTAGACGGCCGCGGCGAGGTCTGCTTCAGTCTGAAGGGGTTCGAAAAGGGGCCTGATGAAAAGAACGGACGAGCTGTCAGATGCAAGCCTGGAACTTCTCATTGAGAAAGGTGCCCGCGTGGTGATGAAATAGCTACTTGAACGGGGAGTGTGTGGAAAGGGCTCGAAGCGGGGAGAAAATACGGTAACAAGAGGCGCGGACCTTGACTAAACGGTCGGTAACGATCTTTTGCGACTGTCCGAGGCCGCAGGTTTCTTTCAACTGAATCTCGGTAGTATATGTTCTAGGAGGCCCCCAGAATCGTAATGGAGTCGGGCAGGTCCCAAGTCACTACCAACATCTACATTGCTTGGTTGCGAATAACGGCTTTGTTGGCCAGCAGGGGCGACTGAAGGAATGGTCTGCCAGGGGGAAATTCTAATATAAGGCCCGTTCAATGATACTGGCTAGCTGTTAGCCCATGCACCCAAAGAGCCCATATGCTTGTTTGACCAGGCGACCAATTCGTGGAGACTCTCTGATGACGTGTCCCAAAGGGTTTGGACCATCTGGTGAATCATAGGTGTCCAAGCTTGTTAGGCAGGGACTCTGATATTCGAAATGAGGCACAGAGAGCCAAGATTGATCATGACTGTTCTCCCGAAACGGAAGGCGAACTGGGAATTTCTCTGGTCGTCTTCGATTCCTTGAAACAACGCTGTGAATTCAAACCTTCCAGCCTGCGAACTAGACAGACCCGACTAGCCTTGAAGTATTTCATCCAGGTCAAAAGCTCAAAGCTTGACAAAGAAAGCAATCAATGCATCTTTGGCCCCAATCAGTCATGTCGTTATGAGTCATGTCGTCTTTGGAAGGGAGATAACGTTTGTCAAAGCTGATACTCTCCCAGCACCGATACGCACACGCAAAACAAGATGGCCATCATAGATCGTCTTAGTCCCTCAGTCCCGATCATATCATGCACCAGACACATTGATTGAAAAGTCTGCCTCACCTATACTCCTCGGCTGGGTCTCCGAGCGCATAGTGGGCTCTTGTTGTCGAGATCCAAATCAGCAGCTGCTTCTCCCCGTACCCCTGAAACGACCGCTCCAGTATCGGCCCGATGTCCTTCACTTTGCAGCCCCGACTCTGTAACTGCGCGGCCCCCAGACCCTCCCTTTCTGAACAGCCCACTTCTGTGATCTGTCTTTGTGACAGCCCGCCTCTGTCATATGGTTCAACAGTCCCACTGAATAGAAGATCTGCCCCCTCCAACACTTCTTGGATCTGACGCAAGTTGTTGGTATGACGGCAGTAGATTTGGAAGTGGGTCAATCTCCGCCAGGGCCGACGGTCTTCGGCATTGTCGCAGTCGCCGAACCTGGCTGCCACGCCTAGTTCCTCCGTTTGCAGAATTGCAGACGTCTCGAACGCGGTGGGCAGGGCAGAGTCCATTGCAGCTTCTCAGCATGCACGAGGATCTACGCCGGGGTACGCAATGGTTGCGGTGGCTTGTTTACTTCCAGAGCCCTCGAAGTGTCTGCATAGGAAGCGAGCAGAGTATGATGAACCAGAAGAAAGTAAGAGGATTCATTGGATGTCACTGCACTCAAATGAAACAACTGTCGCAGATGTACTAGCTAAGAAGTGTTGATTAAGCTTCTTCGTACTGACCAAGCAACGGGCTGGACCTGCATTCCGAGACTGCTCTGGTTAAAGAGTACATGAATCAGCTTGCAAATTTCTTTTACTTACTGAGTTCCTTTTCACTGGGCAGCAGTCATTCAACTTAACTTTCTACCGGCGTCACTCGGCCTAATCTGGGCACCCAATAAATCAAACCTCTATTGACACAGGCGGACAGTAAACTCCGTGTGAAGAGACAGCTTGAAACTGATCTGCATGCCGGAAATGTGGCGATGGGAGGGTGGGCATGAACACACCTTTTGGTTACATCCCTTCTGAAAAGAAGTGATCAAGTTGTTCAGACCGCTACCTAAACACTGGATGATTGCTGAGACTCAGCTGACTCGTCAGCAAGAAATTGCTGGATTTGGTCTGCACTGGTAAGTGGGCTTGTATTGATTTGACAACTATACCGTGTCTCAACTTGTCACACATCATCAAGTAGAGCCTGTTAGCAAGCCGCTCGAACTTAGAAGTGGTGCTAGGGGCAGCACAGGCCAACTTTTTTTGTGCATTTTTTCTCCAAAGGCCCTTCCAAAATGTACCGCTGCAGTCAAGTTGTCAACGATGTGACCCATTCGCTCAGTTTCAGATCATAGCAACCACCTTTCGAGAGAAACCAAATGCCCTCCATCTCTGATTGCAAAGACCGCTCCACAAAAAGTCCAATGCCCCATTGCAATACCCACCTGTAGCTTCCATTCCACTGAAGAGAACCACAAGTCGTTGCCTTACGCCCTTGAAAACCCAAGGTGCGCTGTTCTGTCCCTCTCAGTGGTCTCGCCTCACACAGCATTCTATCAGCATTCAACAAGGCGCCCCCAAATGCCAACGGCTACAGTTTGCTGCGCCATTGCTTGTTTTATCAGCAGTAGAGCAGAGCGTCTTGGAACAGCAGATGGCAGCTGCTTGGGCAGGAGCAGGTGCAAAAGACTTCCTGGCAACCTGTGATTCCCCATTCCTCTTGAAAGGGCGGCCAAGTTGCTCCCGTATACATTCAAGAGGACTAAACTTTGAAATTTGATCTTGCATTCACAATCACGGGTCTGGGTCCTGCATTGATCTGACTGCAGCCTGCAGGAACTGAAACATTTGAGGAGGAAGCTTGCAAGGAGGGAACCATGATGTCCACTGTCGCTCACTGTGACTACGGTATGAGTGAAATGCATACCTGTGTGAAATGAGTGAAGTGCATACCTGTGAGCAAGCTGTTCGGCCTACGACGGGCCCTGACGGCGGATCTTCCCGGCACTGGATACTTCTCCCGAGTGCCCAAACCGCGCCCGGGGAGGTCCTCGAGTCTTGACCAGTGACTCCTGAGTCCCGACTCCTGAATCAGAGGACTCAAGACGTCCCGGCCCGCTTTGCAATTTGAAGAGCACCGGGCTATCTGATCGAGATACTTTGCGGCAGCTGGCCGTCAATGCGGAAGGCAAGTTCGTGCTGGAATCTTGCCTGCCAATACCACTGCCAGGGCAATGCAAGAGAAAGGAGGGATTCGGAGAAAGCTCAAGATTGCCCACTGCCACTGCCAGCGCTACGTTTTGAGGCTCTTCCTTTCAACAGAAAAGCTTGCGCATTATGACGGATTGAGGCTGGGCAAGGTCCGTGATTTAATTGCGCCTTCATGTGGAAGCTGTCATCTTTGTACCTGAGAGTTTGCTCCTGTTATGGTATGTCATCGATTTCGAGATTGGAATCCCGACGAAGTGGCAGCGGGGGCAGGATTTCTTGCAGCTCCTGAAGTCTGCAGCTGCTCCTAGTGCTACCGCTCGGTGGCGAATTTCGGGCGCTTTGTTGCGGGAGATGGCCCCATGATAGACAAAATGAAAAGACAAGGGGATGCAATGTGAGAGAATGGCGAGGAAGAAAAGATCAGAGGATGACCGGAAAGAAAACGTGCGGTGATGGAGAAAGGGCGGGGGTCTTCCCGCGGAGCGAGTAACCGCCGGCGCCCCCGGGGGGGCTCTCGGTGGTCGCCCACCAAGAAACCAAGGCCGGTTTGGCTCGCGGTTTTGCTCCCCTTCCTAGTTCTCCTGGTCCTGATCCAGCTGGCGCAGCCCTTGCTGAAAGATGAACAAAGCTGGTGGACCAAGGAGCTCTTTCTTCAACCGCCGTTTGCGAAAGTTTCGGAAGTGCGGACGGCGATCTGTCTCTCAGGGGGAGCGCGCTCGTTTGAGCTCACGGGACCGAGCATTAAGGATCGGCTGCTGAGCGCTTATCCCAACAGCGACGTGTTCCTGGTGGTGCCCTTTGATGCGGACGCCCATAAGCTATCGCTGCTGGCCGGGACGGGGAACATCGTGCACGCTGAGGTGGCGGTGCAGGCGCTGATGCGCGAGGATGATGTCAGCAAGGAGCTGTTTGATGAAATTGGATCGCCGAATGGAGTACAGGTGAGGTGGCAGAGTGTCATTGGCCGCTTCAAATCTGCTTCTTGTTTCTAGATCTTTAGTGGTTGAGAGCATGTCAAGTATAGGGACTCAAAACCGTCGAGTGCTCTGTGAGTTCTGGTTTGTTGATATCTGGTTGTTGAGGTTTTCCATATGTCCATCTCACCAGCTTTTGCTAGATTGGATGCGAATCTTGTAGACAATATTGCGGCATTGTTTGGGCGTTGCATTTCATTTTTCACACCAACACACGAGGCTTCCAAGTTCCTGAAACAGGCAGCAACTATTCAGCTGAGTTTCTGCTATCCGAAGTTGGGACACGAGAATTTCGGGAGTTGCCGCCTTGAACCTGTGTGTACCCATCTGTATCTTCCTGCCAAAGTTTTGGGATTGCACAACCAGATTCTAGCGACCTTTGTTCACAGCAGGTTAGGAAGTAAGCCTCCTGTAGAGGGCGGCAGAAGATGAGGTATGCACCCAGATTTCGTGGCGGAGCCCTGTTTTTGTTCACAGACTTGAGAGTTCTGCCAGCTCTTGTGTGACACTTCTGGGCACATGGCTGGGAAGTTTGTTTCAGCACTCTTTGTTTTGTTAGATGTCATATACACAGACCTGATAGATCCCAGTTCTAGTGTCCTTTCCCTCGCTGTCGTGAGTTTTGTCTAGTGAACTGCCTGTCGGTCATGATGATTGTGCATTTTGCAGCTGGCTGGAGGCGGTCACGATAAAAAGAGCATCGCGCTTGAGACTTTCTGGGTCGTTCATTAACCATGCTCGAAATAAGTGTGTCAGACGGGAGGAGGATCATGCATCCCTTGCTGATACATTTTTGACACCGGCTTCCTGCCTGCTTTCTCCTTGGCTGTTCGCCTTGCTCTAGTGTCAGATTGTTGTGAATTCACTCCCTTTCTTTCGCACGACCGTTTGGAGCAAGCGAGGGCTGCTTGCCGTGCAGTTTTTGTGTCACTTTTGGAGTCTCCTCTTCATTGCCTTCGCGTTTTCCCCTTTTGACCAAGGTTCAAGATGTACAGCTCCTCTGGTGAAACAGATTAGCTTGGACCCTTTTGAGTGCACTCGCTTGGTCACACCCCTTCGAATACAGCCCCCTCTCGAAATCAAAGCAAAGCCCTCTTCTCATTTTGAGTCCCATCGTGTGGCCCAGTTCAGCCTTTTCCGTTCATCCAGAGAACCATCAGTGCCAGATCGGACATTTGGTAAGGTTCATCTGACAATAGGGTAACCAGCATAGCGTTGCACAAGGCTTCTGGAAGAATCGGCCCACAGACAGACTGAGACAGCCGCCAAACTATGTACCGGACTCTTAACATGTCAAGGCCTTTTATCTGCTTGATAAAGCCTGCACCTTTATACACGTTGAAGAAGACGGCAATGTTGGTGGAGGAAATTTGTGGTGAATGATTGGTGGAGAATAATTTCCGCTGTACCTGGATCCTGTCAGCACAGAGCGGAGCTGGGAGACAAACGGCATTTGACCTAGGAGCCCCTCTCAGCTGAAAGACCATTCTCTGATCTTCAGAATTCACGGTCCCCATTCTGAAGAGGACCCCAAAAACGACTCCGGTCGAGAACCTTGACCATTTGCTGTGCCCCCCTCCCTGCAAAAAAGCTCTCCTTTCTTTCTCCTCTGTTTAGTAAGCGTTGTCAAAGTGCGCTTCACTACTTTCTGCGTCCCGCAAAAGCTGCTCCAGTTAAGCTTCTCTGGGCTTTTTCAGGTTTTCTCCCTTCGCTTGTACATATCCGCCCACGTTTCTTGTTCACTGCACTTACTAGACTCCAACTCCCCTGCTCAAGTCTTCTGTTGATATCCCGACGCTCTTGGCACAGTCTTTTCATTCTGACAGTTTCTCAGTTTTCACCACTCGCTCCGTGTCTGTGCTGTCTCTTTGTCTACATGTTTCCCCTCCCAAGTCGCTGAACTATGTCTGTGGCCGGACTGCGGTCTTTACAAATTGGAGAAGTGATTGAAACGTGAGAACGGATTGAATGGAAAGTTCCTCATCTTGCTTCTTTGACCTCTCTCCCTCACCCCCTACTCGCCGCAGGATCTAACAGGTAGCTGTTGCTCTTGCAGTAGACACTGCAGCTGTTGCTGGACGCATCGCCAAAACAACCTTAACCTCTTCCCTCTATTCCTTGCTCCTCAGCTTTTCTGGCGCATCGTTTTCTTGCCCCTCCAGACTTAGTTACGCATGGCTTTCCTTCACTTCTTCAACGAACTAAAGCCTGAACGCAGAGTCTTTGAAACACTGTCAAACCTATTTTATTGCAGGGCCTCCTCCAGTACTTCGCCCTCGTCGAGTCGTGCCAGGCCGCCATTACCGCCCACGAGCGTACCCACCGTTTCCGCTACGCTTACGTTCTCCGCACGCGGCCCGATGGGTTCTGGAACGCCCCCCCCCCGCCGCTCTCCACCTTCGAGCGCGACACTTACTACGCTCCGAACGGCGTCGATTTCGACGGCGTCAACGATCGCCTCGGCCTGGGGGGCCGGCGCATCATGTCGAAAATGCTCGCGCGGAGTAGCACTAGAAGCGAGCTCTACGCGGCGGGGCTGCGAAACGCCAACTCGGAGATTGCGCTGAAAGCGCAGCTCAAAATCCGGGGGGTGAAGCTCGCGCGCCTCGACTTTCCGTTCTGCGTGATCACGCGCCGGACGTTTCCGTTCGTGGACCGGCCGGAAGAGGTCCCCGTTGTGCCGATCGGGAGCGCCGTGACGCTCAACGGGGTTTACTGCAAGCCGTGCACGCCGATGCTCGCCGGCCAACGCGCGTTCGACAAGATGGGGGGGTACCGCAAATCGCTCCGCTGGTTCGGGACTCCCCGTGCCGGCGCCGAGATCTGCAACAGCACGGCGGAATGGGAACGGAACTGGGAGCGCGCGTTCGACGCGAAAGTCGGCCCGCAGCTCGCAGCCGCACGACACGCGTTTCGCAACGAGACGTTTGACGCGTGTAAGCGGCGGGTCGCGAACTTCGTACAGGAGATCCCGGAATGGCGTGGGCCGTCCCCGCGCGAAATGTGTTTGATGTCGTTCTTGGGTAAACCCAGGCGGGTTAAGGGGGTAATGATGTACGTTCAATTACTGCGGGGGCCGGCGGATGCGCGCTCGACCAGTTTCGCACTCGGACGGAACTCGCCCCTAGGTATTGCGTTGGCTAATGTGAGTACTTCCACTGACTTTGCTGCTATGAGCACTGACCGGTTGTGTCAAGTTAATAAGAAGTGTAGATACCCCAGCGCTGCGGACAGCGCGAGACTGACACAAACTTTACCGAAAAAGGTTTACGTAGGAGTCTTAGAGGTGGCCGGGCTAGAGTTGGCGTCTCGCTTCCTTCAGGAGGCCAGAAGCGATCCGGATCTCTGGGTTTGTCAGATTGTGTTAACTTACCACGATTCAGACCAAGACGTCAAGGAGTGGGAGTCGCTGAGACGTGCTTATCAAGAGGCCGGGTTTTGGCAAGCCACTTGCGAATGGACGGCTCGAAACGAGGCGCGCTGCTTGTTGTTTTCGGATAAAAGGTGTAACTTAAAGTTTCTGTAATGGACCATATTGATACCTCTACTGTGACAGTCGGAAGTGCAAGGTCATCAAAGGCAATTTTTAAAGAACTGTTTTCAAGAATCACCTTGACGAACCTCAGTCTGACTCCACCTTTCCGATGCTCATGCTTTCAATCTGCTTCTCGTCAGTACGATTCTTGTCCCGCAAAGAGCGAACAGCATGTGCCAGGCGGCTGCGGCGGGACCCTCAATCGCAAAAAAGTCTTTGTTGATTGTATATCGCACTAATTGGACATGCATCTGGTTCAGTCATCGCGGTCAATGGCGAGTGCATGTGTGCATCGAACGAATTGTTGCGTATGTGCCAAGCCTACACAGACATGTGAAGCCTGACAGCTACAAAGGCTGCATGCAAAGTTGCAAAGTAAGCGATTTGTTGCGCGGGCAATCATTCAACAGAAGTGACTTGACGACTGGAGGTTGCATTCTGATTCAGATTTATGAGACTCAATCAGAAGACTCTCGGTGAACAATTGATTGCGTTGCAGAGCTCGATATATCGGCTGCATGTGCATATACATACCGCTCATGACCTTGTCGTTATACAATACCCGGGTTTTCCATTACACACGTCCAAACTGAGGATCGGATCCGATGCAGGCTAGGAAGCCTGTGAGGACATCCTAAGATCCTAATATGAACGGCATGTCAACTTAAGTTTACAGCCTACGATATCTAGTCAGCTCTCCTCATTTTGCTTAGACCAAGACGGTTGCGGTGCGGCGTGTACACATATACGTCGTGTTCTGCATGCTACTATGACTGTTGCACATCGATCATTGGCATGGTCGACCCACGGTCGACTCGAACTCTAGATGCACTTATGCCAGCAGATTGTCACTACCGTAGTTTCTTCAAGGCTGGGCTGAGGTGGACCCTCTGGTCAAGGAGCTGTTAGCAAGCAGGAGCGCCAGATGAGCGCCTCATTTGTCAACAGTCTCATTGCGTAGCAATGGGCCCGCGCCCTGAACTTGAAACCGTCCCCTCTAATTCAAGCGCCTCATCTCACACTTGTAACGTACAAGTTACAACTTACAGAGCCTCTGTTGAGAGCCTCTGTCGAGTCTCTGCGCCACCTCTGCGCAGTTTAACTAGTATTAATTACTACACATGCAAGCAGGAAGCCACATCATGAGTCGTCCGGGTGACCTGACCAAAGTGCCAGGTGTTCGAACTTCGTCCGCAATGGTTCCGAACCTGCGCACTTTTCACGCCAAAAAGTAACGTACCTGTCCGAAAGCGACGGCAGGGGTGTCCGAAAGCGACCTCATGCGGCGCCTTGCATTCGGCAATTCCCCTGATAAATGCTGAGCGTCCAGCTGTGAGTGAAAGTATCTTCGGTGGAGTTGCACGCCTGTGCTTTTTCCAATTGATTTGTGCTGGTCGCTTCGTCGTAAAAGTTCAGCGCTGATGTCAGACCAACTCTGCTACATCCTGCCGCTTTTCCTGTGGTCTCAAAGTGAGGCTCACTTCAGTTGCGGCATTCTGAAGACAAGGGAAGCTTTTAAGGAGCAATGCTGCACTTTCTCCTGCAGTGATTGCCAGGGAACAAGCGGAGTACTAGCCACCCCAACCAAGCATGGTTTGGTCCAATATCGAAGTCCGTTCTTTCCGCGCCCGTCGCAAGGGCCCTGCACCGCCTCTGACCTGCCGCATTGATTGCGCTTGTTGAGGGGCCGGGCCTGCAGAAAGGTGAGCACATTGCCTTCCTGACAATTGAGTGGCCGTCCTGGGTCGACTACACTTTTGGACATTGGTTAGCGTTGCGCTTGACAACCCCCCCCAGCCTGTGACTGCAATTATCATGGAGCTGGTGATGTCGTCAGAATCACAGGCCACTTGTGACCCCCTTTGTGTCAGAGCCTTTATGCGCTGCGTTTGAGCGTGGACGTGAGCTGAGACATGGCCTGCCTTTTTTGTTAGTCCAATACATATTCAAGGACTCGGTCAGCAAGTCCAATGGAAGAATCCAGTCACTGCGCTTGTCTGGCTGTCAGAGTAGGCCATAAAGGTGCACCCTTTCGCCGAACTCTGGATCTGAGCTGCTGAAGCATCTCCAGGTGACTTGTTGAGTCAACTAGGTATGAGTTAACCAAATATGAGTCAACCAGATGTAAGTCAACCAGGTATATGATGTTTTGTGCACAGGCTCAGACGACCCTACATCAGCAGCTATAGCACACTGGTATCTCGCTTCTAAAAAGCCTCACTTTGGGCCTGCACCTGTCCTCCTAATTGGGACTTTGGCTAAATTGCAGCTCGTGGCGGGATGGAGCCAGTGACAAGTGTGGAGTGTCTGGTTGTCGAGCTGGGCAACTGCGTTCTAGATGGGGCCTCAACTCTGGAGGAGGCAATCTCAGCACTAAGAGGGTATCTCTCAAAGGCAGAGGATGCTGCTTGGTCTCAAGCAATCGCAGTCATGGCTGACGGGGGCGAGGCAGTGCGCCAACGTGCGCGGCAGGAGCTTGCCAAAGTCCTCTCCGCAGAGCTCACTGGACCTACTGGGGGCCTGATGTGCGAGAAACGGAAAGTGGACAGATTCCAGGGGGCCAGAACTCGTGCAACAACTGTGGTAGGACTTTGCATACGTTCCTTGTCCTTTCTGTTGTTTTGTGACCCGCAGTTCTCTATGCACTTGGTGGGAGCGTAGGCTCTTCTGCTTACCTTTGGGAGAAGCTTGCAGGAAGGGAAAGTTGTATTTTAATGCAGCAACGCAATTTGTGCAGGACCTTATAAGCCTGCAACTTGTTAGACAGCGTGCTAGAAACAAGGGCGTTCTGTGGGAGTGGAACCCAGTGGGGGGCTAACGTCTGCCAAATGGAAACTTTGTTTGTTTCAAAAGGTATTGTTGAAGACACTGCAGAAGGTGTTCCAAGACACTGCAGAAAATGCTTTAAGAACTGAAATGAGCGCAAAATCAAGCAATAGACACATCAATAATCAAGGCTAATGTTGAGGCTTATTTTTGATTGTTTTTTGGGTACGTACAGCTTTGATCTGCACGGTATGAGGATAGCTGGATGCGGCCGTGCAACAATTCCCAGGCTCGTCCTGCCTTAGCCTATCTCTGCCGTTCAGTATTGCTGATATGCAGCAAGCAGAAAAGTCAAGGTGGCATCACTTATTACGGTGATTGCACGTACGTGGATCGCAAGCCTGGGCTCATTGTTCTATCTGGCTGCTCGGGGGAGGTTTTCAATGGGCAGTCAAAGGCCCTTGCCTGAGCAGCTCTGGTCACTGACCTGTGCGCAATATGGCAAGACAACCAGTCGTCTCAGACGTCCAGCGATCTGCATGATCCAGCTCAATCATCGTCGCCTTACCCATCTTTCTCTGGCCCTTCAGGAGGACCTCCCCCCTTACTTCCCCTTACGAGACAAGAGCCCCGAAGAACGCGTTCAGAAGTACAAAGAGCGTGTTCAAAACTGGAGCCTGATGGAAACCTGCGAGGTCTTTGAGGCCGCCATAACCGACCCCACAACCGGCCCTGACGATCGGGAGAAGCTGAAAGAGTTTCTCCAGGCCAAACACTACCGCCCGGCAGAGGAGCGGCTGCTCGCGCTGCGGCGCGCCACCCGGGCCTTCTCTGCTGTGGCGGAGGCGCAGCGACGGGTCGTGGAAGGACGGGCCATGGGGCAGCATGGGGGACTAGCCGTGGCGCAGTTGCGGGACGCCCAGGGACCAGCTGTTGCGCAACTGCAGGATGGCGGGGGATCAGCCGGAGCACAGCAGGCCCCTCGGTGCGGTATGCTCGGTTGTATGCTCAAGGGGCGCGGGTGCTTCCCGGACGTTGATCCAGAGGAGCCGCAGTGGACGTCGTGCGAGCCGTGCGGAAAGAGGAAACGGGGGGGAGACGCCGCGTCTTCGTCCACACCAACGCAGCAAGGATCGTGGAGCGGATCGGACGCTTTTGGACCGGGCTCCCTCGGGCAGAGCTCGTTTGAACAAAATTCGTCCGGACTGGGCTCATTCGGACAGGGATCGTGGGGAAAGTCCTCGTTTGAAAAGGGATTGTCGGGACAGGGCTCATCCGGGCACGATCTCTCCTTGGAGTTGTATTTGTTGGAGTCTGAGACCGAGGCGGGACAGGGCTCATTCGAGCAGACTCTCTCCTTCGGGTACTTGTTGGAGTCTGAGACCGAGGGGGGACAGGGCTCATCCGGGCAGGATTTCTCTTTCGGGTACTTGTTGGAGTCTGAGACCGAGGCGGCAGCCGACCCACAGCACGGACGTCCGAGCTCAGAGGACAGCAAGCTGCAACTGGCATTGAACGAGGAAGAGGAGGAAGAGGAAGAGGAGAGCGAGACAGACGCTGAGCACGATGACGTCAGCAAGAGCGACAGTGACGATGACGACGCACCCGAGGCCGGGGGCCAGGGAGTGGCTCCTCAAGGCCCACAAGGGGATCCCCCCGACAACGGCGGCGGCGGTGTTCCGTATACGGAGGACTTTGGCGGCCGGGACTTACACCCGGCGGAGTTTGGCGGCGCTCGAGACTACGGCTACAAGAGAGCCGCTGACTCAGAGGGCCCGAGGCACGTGATCTGCGGACAGCGGACAGGGTTCACGTGGGCCGGATCCGGACCCCGTCGGCGCTCCCTCGGGGCTGCGGCGGGGAATGCAGCGGCCAAGGCCTGCTTGGCTTCGTCTTCGGACAAGGTGGTCAAGTCCAGTTCGGACGGCGCGCTGTCCGCGCTGGAGGAGCGGTTGCAAAGGGTGCTGATCGACGAGGAGGTGCGTACTAGAACTTTGTCCGGTCCTTTTTGTAAGGTTCGTTGCATTTTAGAACTTCGGTGCTCGTTAGTCCTCCTCTGTTTCTTACCGGCCAAGGTTCAAGATTGCAGATACCCCTGTTGGAACGAGCGCTTATTTCGAAACGAATGGCAATGAAGACGACGGCTTGAAATGCTGCTACTGCTCTTGCGATGCTTTCGAAAAGCTACCCGTCGACGTACTACTACTGTCAGAACTTTAATGTGCGCGCACGGAGTCTTAACATGAACGGCTCTTCCTGTTCAGGACGCTGACTCCGGTTCCGCTGAGTCCGGTTCCGCTGAGCCCACCGGCGGCCGGCGCTTGCCGGAGCTGCCGCCGATTCGCATGCGGCAAAGCGACGACCGCAGGGGGCTGCTCGCCGTGCTGCCCGCCGTGCTGCCTCCAAAGGCGGCCACGTGAGTCTCGTGCCAATTATACTCGGTCGAAGTTTCACCATAACCCATTACTTTTCTTTCCGCAATTTGCGGAGCATGGTGTTTTTTGCGGTAAGCTTTCCAGCAACGCTGTTCTTTCTTGCTCTCTTGTTCGGAAGGGCTACAATGAATCTAGAAGCCGCCCTTGCGCTGCTTGTTTGATCGTCAGAAAGGGTGGAGGCGAGAGCTAAAGCGCGCCCCCTTTTCCTGGCGGACGCCATGACCAACTCAAAAAGTGCACAAGAAGAATCTCTTCCTAAACCGTTCCGATCGGCGTTCAACGGTCTCGATCCTCCTTTACAGAAAGTCAAATGTGCACAAAGTAGGACATGGTATAATTGGAACGAGAATTTTCAGCCACATGTTTGCTTGTCGCTGCTTCATCTGGGACTGCCGACTTTTGCGGCCCTGTCTTCCAAACTCTCTACGCTTTATCTCTGCTTGAAGTTCCGCCTTGCGTGACAATACTCGCTGGAAAGAAAGTCTGTCTCTCAGGTTATTCTGTTTTCATGCCAATCGCACTGTTGTATCAGGTGGGCCGGCTTATGTTCCTCACATTTTATGCCTCAGGTACGTGACTGAGCGAGACGCTGCAGCAGTGCAACGCAACAGCAATGACGCCAAGTCCAGCCTGCCAATTGCCGTTCCTCAGAGGCCCTCTCTACCATGCCAAGACGAGAAGAACGTGAGTCTGTCCCTGTCCGTTTCTGGAGGCTGCTCTTTACCGCCCGTCTTTGGAGCTGGTTTCTCATCACTGCTGAGTTGAAGTCCTCGAATGGGCAAGGATAAGATCGAGCGACAGTCTGGCAGGGCGGTAGATCAGCACGTCTTTTTCCGGCTTGAACTCGGCAACCAGTTCATGTGTTCAACAAATTGAATTGGAAGTGTGCGGTCGAGGTATAAAATCTAACCCAAAAGAATAACTGAATGACATAAAGCAAGAAGTGCAGAAATCAGAATAATCTGTCGGATTAAGCTGTGTATAATAAGCCAAGCAGCCTGGGACGGGTGAGGTTACTTTGAGGGTTTAGGGTGGGTACGGGTGCGGAGCGGTTTATTTGGAGGGTCAGGTTTTTGGTGTTAGGGCAGGAGCTTACTATACCTGAATTGAAGAGACATCTAAGATGCGCCACAGAGATAGAGCGCAAATGAGGGGCCTCGATACCGGAAATTTCAAAGTGTTCCTGGGGCCTTTCTGCCTGCTCCATCTGCAAACATTAATCTTCCCCCCACTGTTATGAGCAATCTCACTCTTGTTCTTTTGAATTGCAGTCTTATGCATCTTACGCTGTGCTTTCTGCGCCTCTCCTCAGGTACCGCCAACCGCGCGTGAGCTCTTTCTCGCCAGCCTCAAGCCCTGCACGCTGACGCCGTTCGAGTCCGCTCTCGCGTCCGCTCTCGAGCTGCTCGACGCTTCGGACGTCCGCAACGGCCTCGCAAACCTCGCGCAGCTCCTGGCGCCGGGCCGGCGCTCGGACATCCTCGGCGTGAACGCCGCAGCCCTTTCTCACGTGGTGTCCGCCCTCATTACCGGTTTGGACCGTCCGGATGCTGCCACGTGGCAGCAGCGCGAGCTCCTGGTCACGTGCCTGTTGGAGGTCAGCGAGAACACCCGACTGGTTCCCCTGGTGAAGCGCCCGGTCCCCCCGTTCAACGTACCGGGCACTCGCCGGATCGTCAGCGCGCTGTGGCGCGCGTTCATGGCGGTTAAGCAAACCGGCTGGCCCGACCGCGACGGCACCCCTGCGCTGATCCGGGTTCTCGCTAACCTGGCCGCCTCTGACCTGGAGTGCCACCACGAGATCTCCCGCCACGGGGGGCTCTGCCTGGTGCAGGGTCTCGTAACCCTGGCCAGCCAACCGGACGACCGCGAGCCGTCCGATCCCGTCCGCAAGCCGTCCGAAGCCGTCCGCACCCGTCAGCATGCGTACCAGTGGAGGCGGGAGGTCATCAACGAAGGCACGCGCGCGCTGAATTTCATCCTGCCTACGTGGGGGAAGCAGCAGACCGGGGGATCCCTTGGTGGGGCGCGCGAAGAGAAGAAGCTGACGCAGAAGAGGCTGGAAGCCGCATCAGAGGCGCTGCGCGTCATGGCGCTAGAGGTGAGCAATCGCAACGGGTTTGCAATTCTGAGAAATTTTGAGAATTGTGTGGCAACTTTGCAAAAATTACCAAGCTGCGCTCCTTAGCGCGCTTGCCTAGCGCGTGCGAGAGACGAAGGTTGCCATCTTTTTACCGATAGCTATCGTAGCTATCAAGATAATCAATTAGAAGTTTTGCTTCAAAGCCCATTTTTGTTTTATTGTCTCTACGTTTTTTCATTTTTAAGGTTTTCGCATCTTTTGCCTAGATTTCCCGGTATGATTTTTGGTTCCTATCCGGGAAAAGTGCCCGTTTTTGGAAACGCGGCAACCACTCGGGGCAAAGTGCAGCCATCAATATCCTTCTTGCCCCAACTAATCATCTTGGAAGTTCCCCCCGGTTGTAGCAGCTTCGCAGGTCGAACGCCGACTGCCACTTGCTTGATGAAATTGTGCTGCTTATGTCCTGCAAGGATCACTGCTTTCCCAACAACTCAATGCGCTCTTGAATCAAACCGTCATTTGACACTAGGCCGCTCCCTTTTTCAGGGCAAAAGTGCGAGCGTGCATGTCGAAGCCCTTGACATCAAAAAGGATTCGTGTCCCTTGGAGGCGGTTGCGGGATTCACCCATGGCGGCACTTTCTGCCCAGACCGGAACTTGGGAGTATGGTGCACCGACTACCTCAGGTAAGGAAGCAAGCAGTCGGACTGATAAGCAGGCAATTCTTTGGACCCGCCCGTAAGGCAACTTGAGCACCGCTTGGCTTTGACAGACTTTCTTTGCAGGAGCGTTTTCGTCTAGGCCTGAAGGCCTGACCGATTGCACATTCTCCATCGAGAAGCGCCTCGACACTCGGTCTGCATCAAGTTTCCTCTTCAGATATTTTTAATGAGCCAATCATCTCGGATCCTTTGCTTTTGAGAAAACCACACGAGTCGATCCTCTTTGATGACTGGGGTTTGTGAGTCTGCCAAAGCAGATTGTCTTAACTTCATCCTCACAGAAGGTAACTGATTTGCGACTGCGCCTCCCCCTACGTTCAGGGATCAAGTACAAGAGCTCAAGCAGCTGCTGATGAGGCCAGCTGGCATCGATGCGCCGCCGCCTGTACAGCTGGTAAGTAGCCGGGAAGCATAGAATCAAATACCTTTTGCAAGGCGAGCCCGGGGGCCCTTGCATCGAGTCTCTGCAACTTTTTAGAAAGTGGGTCTGTGCTAGAGCTCTAGCCTGAGGCGAATGGCAATCTGCTCCGAAGCAGATACCGTAGAAGGCAGTCTCGTGCTCTTTCTCACGGTCAGGGTGATTGCTAAGCGGACCGCTTCGAGGCCTGCCACCAATTCCGCTGAACACAAGGCCCCTCCAGTGCAACCGTCTCAAGGGGTTCACTGCTTTCTTTCAGGAGGCCTTGTTGAAGGGAACCCCTGCTGGCAACGAGACGCACTGCACGCAGACAGAGGAGACGATGGAGCAGCGCGCTTCCAAGGCGGCGGAAAAGGACACGCTGACGCTCGCGGTCCAGCTGCAGATGGCAAAGGAAAAGGCACGCCGCTACCAGAAGGAGCTCCAGGTGGGCACGTGACCAGCTTTCAAGGGAAAGCTGAAGGCCTGCAGCACGTTAGAAGAACTTCTGACCCCTGGTTACTTGCAAGCCACGAAATTTGCTTGCAAGGCGTTTTGAAGATGAGACGTACTGAGCATTGAGCCCTGCCGTGGAAAGCAAGCCTTGTTCTTTGAGTTCTGATCACAGGGCGTTATTGCCATCGTCAGTCGGAGTACTGTCCAGAGTGTTTAGTCCGTTGCTTGCTTGATCGCTCGATCACTCCTCAGTCCCGTGTATGGCGGGCCCTCTGTCTGGTGCAATTATATCCCAAGGCATGGCGAACACATGAACTCTCTTCCAAATTTGATGGAGCCGAAGGTGGGTCAAACAGATTCAATAACGGAAGGCTTGACCCCAAAAAGACGCTGTCTCGTGCATCAAGTGCAAACAAACAAGTTCACATGACATGTGTCTTTTTCGGACGATTATCGAGAATGGACGTGTTCCTTTGCCCGCAAGACACACGAAAGACCGCGCGGTTCGACTTGCTTCCGCCCGCGAGCTGACGTCACGCTGACGCCATCGCCCGACGTCTCGTTCCGCAGGCGGCCTATGACCTGCTCGACCGCGGCACTAGCGCGAGCTGCGTTAACCAGGCGCTGGTAGCCTTCTTCTCGGACGCTGGGGTTAGCGCCAAACCCAGCACGGAACCCTTCGACAACTTCCCCACGGGCTGTCTGTGCCCGGTCTGCCACCAGGTCCTTAACCTGGCGGTTATCCTGGAGTCCGGTTTCTCCTGCTGCGCAGCGTGCACCGACAATCTCTTTGGTGGACAGGAGACTGCCAAGTGTCCCGTCACCCAGGCGCTGATCCACCGGAGCAGGTGGGTGCCGCGAGCTGACGTCACGCATGATGTCAGCAAGTCACGCGGCAAGAGCTTGCGAATAGCGCGCTCAGCAATCGCTGCAAGAGAAGGTCATGCAGAGCCACGTGGCAAGGGATATGAGCACGGTCACGCGTTTCCGAATGTGCTTACCGTCGTGCGGTGTGCTTATCGCGTTTGCGAAGCCCCTGATCGAATGACCAAAGGCGAGCACACGTTTTACAGCACGGACGGTTCTGAACTAGCGACGGGGTCACATGATAGCTTTTCACTGGCCACCTCGTTACGCACTGCGGGATTGGAGCGTTGAAAAGAAAAGTCTGTTTATAGAAGCTTGGCAAATCCTCGTTGCTACGATCACAGATAGGAAAGATATGGCTTGAGCGATGCGGTCTCTTTCGCGTCTTTTTCTCAACCGCTCTCTCTTCCCGCCGCGCGCAGGGTCATTCAGAACGAAGGCTTGCGCCTGACAATCAAGAACTGGGAGGAGTCAGCCCTCGAGTGGCTGACGAAACAAAGGGCCCTCTTGGGCGCTCCAGCGCCCCCCCTCGCGCCTCAGCACGTCTTTAGCGCGCGCGCGGAGGCAACGCGGCCGCCCGTTGGCTCCCCGCGCGCACGTCGGCTCAGCAGGGACGTGCGGCGGCCGGAAGGCGCGGACCGCGCGAGGGTGACGTTGCCACAGTCGCCGTTGAAAAAGGTGGAGGGCTTCTTGCTACGCTAATTGCTACCGTACCTTTGGATAGAGCCCTAGCAGCCGACACCTGGCATGGCATCATTGCAGAAGTCTGGCCTGTAATCAATATGAGGGTGATCGAACGGTGGCGCGGCCCTGCATGCTCCAACTTTGGAGAGGGTGCGCTGGAGAACTTGAAGCGCAAGTAGCGCAGGTAGCGCAGCTTTGGCCAGGTCGCCTAGCTGGCTGCAGTAACTAGGGATGAGATGTTAAGCCCTTGAGCGGATTGGAGCGAGACCAGAGGACGGCAGGCTGGCGCTCAGGAATACTGCAGATTCTTTGTTGTAATGCAAGCGAGCCCAGGGATCTGAGACGGCATTCCGGAGTTTGGATGCGACAACAAACAGTCCACTTGCTTCCATGTTGGCTCGTCCTGGGTGCCTCCCTCCGAAGCTACCCACCGCCCAGGAGACAAGCCCGCCATAAACGTATAGAGGGAGCGACCACAGTCACTGCCTGACAATATGCGGTTTCGGTATAAAGGTTGTATATATGGGTTTTGTGTGTAGGTTGTTATACAAGGTTCTGCTTGTATGGGGTTTGTATTTGGATTGTCATATAGGTTTTGTGTGTAAATTTTGTACATAGGTTCGGTGTACAGGTTCTGTACCATAGTTCCTGTCTATAAGCTTTGTAAATAATCGATCAATTAGGGCCTGAACAATTTTAACGGTTGCACGGCAGTTTGAAGGGTTTCTTTATCATAAGATCTCATCGCGAAGTCACTGATGTACGTGCAGACGTCTCCGACACATACCTTTCGAAAAAGCTGAGCCACAAGACTCTGCCATTCGTATACTAGTTGCATGGTTTCAAAGGTGGCCCTTGCCTCCAAAACTCTTAAATTGCAGATCAATGCGTGCAGTCGGATCGGATGCAAAGCGCCGCCGCCCCTTCTGAGACCAACTACATTACCAATTCAAAGCTCGCGATGATCTTCTCACTCGAGGCAATGCGCGGCGGCCGGCCCCATGATGGCCGTCATTAAAGTCAAGATCATAAATTATGATGTTTTTTATCTGTTTGACGATCGAGATTATCTACTAGCTAGGGCCCCGCAGGCCCGGGGCCGTGCAATGTCCAACTGACTACTTACGTACAGTGGCGCATGGCTTTCGGCAATTCGACAGCATCCAGTGCTGTACCTGCACATGACGCGATCAGCTTTGCTTGCTATGTCGATCATGCCAAGTACGCACAATAATGCGATCATGTGAATCACCTTGACGAAAATCAGTCTGACTCTTCTCCCATGCTTCGATCTGCATCATGTCATCACGATTCTTGTCCCGCAAAGAGCGGACAGCATGTGCCAGGCGGCTGCGGCGGGAACCCCCGTCGCAAAGTTCCCCTGTACAGTTATGAACGGTTCCAGCACGATCCGACGTTTGGATCAACTATGAGGCAATGAAAGCCGCAGGGAATGCATGATAGCATGATGAAAGCTGTAGTGGGTCAAACGTTTGTTGCACGTTTGTTATTTCTGAGTGTCCAGCAAGAGGTGTACACCTTTGCATCTGATCATTCATCCCCAGGCCCGATCCTTGGTCTCCAAGCAGATTGCATAGATTAGTCAGTTAGTTTATTTGCATAGCTCCAATGGCAGCAGTTGCGGGTTCGATCCCGAGAACTGAGCAACATACTAAGCAGACCAGAACTGATTGGGATTCAATGTGAATTAGCATCTTGGACAATCTATATTGCATGTCAAGCTGAGCGATAACTTGGAAATTACATATACAGACCTTTCACGATTGGAACTTGGGTTCAGGTAATTGAAGTCCATCAAGCCTTCTCTCTAGATCACTGATCCAACATATTATATACTGCTCTCAACATGCCTATGATTAAATGTTATCGTTGTGTGGGGATCAGGATGCGGAGAGGGTTCTCTCGTGCCTATGAAACGAGAGACAAAACTGATCTTGCATTATGGCTTGGATGCATTTTCAGTCTTGTCGATTTTGTCAATCTATATTAGGTAGTCGATAAATCGTTCAGTGGCAAATTCTGGCAATCCATATCATTTGCCCGAGAATACAGCTTATCTCGCCCTCCCTATACTCTCCCATTTTGACCAATGCCATGATCCGAGTACGCCGACAAGTTACAACTACCCGTACGACCAAGGTATGATTCCGAATAAATAAAGAATTATTTGCATTCGGAAAGTTGGAAACTCCGGATAAGCAGTCGGAATCTGCTTTTTCGTAAACCGAAAATAACTGCTAAATCCCATTCGGAAAGTGATTTTATAGGCCGTATGAGTACACGGTACGTACCTTTTGCGACAATTGGCCCTGAAAATATAGGTACCGGGATACCTCACATTGATTCGGATTTAGGGTCGGAAAGTGGAAATCAATATATGATTTGGGCTCGCATCATCGCATTCACTAAAATAATTGCTTTTTTCGAGCATTCGGAATTATTTATACCTTGGTCGTACGGGTATGAAGTTCAAGAATGGAAAACTGGACTCCGACTTCCATGGGTTCTAGGCAGGGTTTCCCACAGCCGGCAACAGAACCTGGACCTGGCCGGCCGAGAAGGGACCCCGGCCGGTGCCGAAGGCACCCCGCCGGCTGGCTAGCCGGCTGAAAAGCAGGCAAATAGTGAGCTCAGCCGGCCGGTAGAGCCAAATGTCAGCAATCGAGCCGACAGAACCGGGGGGCCGCCGGCAACTGGCCGGCCGGGACGAAACTCCGTGGGAAACCCTGGTTCTAGGA